TCCTCTCCTCTCCTCTCCTCTCCTCTCCTCTCCTCTCCTCTCCTCTCACCGCCACTTACACCGACACCACCAGCCTTTCGAACCGGTGACATGTCAGCCTGACCGCTGTTACTCCGGTTCGATGGGGCAACCAAAAAACGCTGATAATAAATTTCAACCTGCCAAACAAGTCGCCGTCACCGCTGGCGACGTGACCCCTCAAAACATTACACACTGACACGTCTCCCACCCCCTCCACTCATCGCAGTCCGCAGACCGGCAGCGCAGCCTCTGAGCCTCTGAGCGCGCCCCGCTCTCCGGCTTGTGTGCGTCCTACCCTGTTTCTAAGGGTTTCCACTCCACGAACCACGATCCTACACATTGCAAGCAGGGGGCTGGCGGCCCATTTCTCGACGCCAGCGAAGCTAGAGAAATGGGTGGATGAGCCTGTGGACGCACAGACTTGTACCTGGCAACTATTGTTCACGCTGTCCTCATGATACCTCCCACCAAACCAACTGGTTTCCCTCCGCCGCTTTCCGCTGCCGCGTTCTGCAGACACGCGAACAATGTGTTAAACAATTCAGTTGCGCTGACCGCTTCACCTTGCGTTTCCCGCATTCATTTCACTGTGGATTATGGAAACTGCAAACCCTGTGACTAAGTGTGTATGTGTGTGCGCGCGCGCACGAGCGCAGGTGCAAGCCCTGGAGTCACGCTGTTCTAGCGCAGCGGGCGAAAGGCCAAAGGTCACAGTAGTGTCAAAGGAGGACGTCCCTTTGACGCACCTGCACTGCTGGTTCAATGTTGCTATGAGATGCGCATCCAGGGCCACATCAAAAGAGGGGAACAGAAATAAACAAAGAAAGAAAGAAAGAAAAAAAGAAAAGAAAAGAAAAGCACATAAAAGAAAAAGAAAAGAAAAGATAGAAAGAAAGAAGTCCACAAAACAGAAATTACTTCAGCATAGACCCCAGATAGCAAAAGCATGCAAAAGATTTTTCTGGGCTGCGCCCTGCGTTGGCAGCAGCTCCAATTTTTACACGCAATACAGCGTGGCGTGTCTCCACCACGCGCACAGCCAGCGCCAGCATCCGGCACCAGCACCCAATCTGCACCACGCCACCAGCAACCCGGCAGCACCCTGTGCCCGCCACGCGCACAGCCAGCACCAGCACCCAGCACCGGCACGCCAGCTCACACAGCAGCCAGCGCCCGGCACCCTTTTTCCACCACGCGCACAGCCAGCTGACAGCACCCAGCATCAGCACCCAGCACCCTGTTTGCACCACGCGCACAGCCAGCTCACAGTCCACCACGACGCACACCCAGCACCCAGCAACGGCGCCCAGCACTGGCACCCTGTCTCCACCACGCGCACAGCAGGGAATAACACCGTATGATCTTGCGCGAAAAAGTTTACGTGCACAAAAGTATGCGCGCAAACAGCAAAGCCCGTAAGTTAGTAAGTGTCATTGGCCCAAGGCCAAGCAGTATCCAGCGCCACTGTTGATTTTGTAGCATGCTTGAAGCAACGATCTGTAGAACGATACGGCCAGTATGATCTTGCGCGTACAAGTTTACGCGCGCAAAAGTATGCGCACAAACGGCAAAGCTCGTAGGCCTCACTCGCCCAAGGCCAAGCAATATCCAGCACGACTATTGTGTGTGTAGCATGCTGAAACATACTGAAACAATGGTTGGTTGAGAGCCTGACTTGCGCATACAACATTATACGTACAAAAGTATGCGCGCAAACAGTACAGCCCTTGACACAGCTGTCGGCCAAGACAGAACCTGAAGAGGGTAAATACCCCGCAACGCTAGACAAAGAACGCTCAAGCGACAACACCGCATGATGTTGCGTGCATACAGCCAGCTCACAGCACCAGCACCAGCACCGGCACCCAGCACCCACCCAGCACCGGCACCATGTCTCCACCACGCGCGCAGCCAGCTCACAGCATGCACCCGGCACACAGCACCGGCACCCTGTCCCCACCACGTGCACAGCAAGCTCGCAGCACCGGCGCCCAGCACCCTGTCTCCACCACGCGCACAGCCAGCCAGCCAGCACCCAGCACCGGCACCGGCGCCCTGTTTTCACCACGCGCACAGCCAGCTCACAACACCAGCGCCAGCACCGGCACCCAGCACCCAGCACCAACACCAGCACCTGTCTCCACCACGTGCACAGCCAGCCCACAGCACCAGCACCCGGCACCACAAGCGGCACCCGGCACCCAGCACCAGCACCGGCACCAGCAACCTGTTTCCACCACGTGCACACCCGCCTCACAGCAGCAGCGTGTCACGGCACCAGCACCAGCACCAGCACCCGGCGCCAGCACCAGCAACCTTTCTCGAAAGCGCGCACGAGCAACTCATTGTTATTTGAAGTAAGCAGCCCATAGCTTCGCTATCAGGGGAAATATAAAATATCATATATATATATAAATCAAGGAACAACGAGGAACAAGGAAAGAACCGTCAGGTGCTCCCAGCTGCGACCCAACCGTCCAGGGAGTCCTGGGATACCACTTTGAAAGGGAAAGAAGAAAGGGAAAGATTCCAGTCATTAATGTCAAGCATACAGGCATCAGAAAAGAAAGAAAAGAAAGAGAAAGCATCAACTAGGCAGCAATGATAGCCATCTATATAGTAAAGCCTTGACAATTGTGCCAAGGCATCGAAAGAGTATCAACATTAATGCCCAATGAAAGCTTGTGGAATTGGATCGGTGCTCACGGGCTCAAATCAAACCATGCCGTTTATCTCAGCTTGGCACGCAATGCGCAAGCCCGCCGATGGTTCACAATCCATCGCCAGGTGATGTTGATTCGTGGAGGGCTCAATCCTGCACGTTGAACAGGCTCCCGGGTGAGGAAGTGCACTGTGTGCTTTTGCATCAGGCCCTCCTTAGTTTCGCTAGGAGCAAGGACGCTACTAGGGGCGCTCCTGGCCTTACTACAAGGAGCAAGGACGCTTCAACTGTCCAAGCAGGGTAATCAAGAATGATAAGCTGTCACAAGCTCTCGCACAGGTTATTGCAAGCATGGCTCCATGCTCAGCACGTCTCCATCTCGAAGATCCATCTCAACAATCGTGTCCTAAAAGAGAGGTCACAACTACGAGTTACAAGTGGAAAATCTGCTGCAGAATGCTGCATGGGGTTCTGGGTGGCAATGGCAAGGCATGGATTAAGTGTCCCCCTAAAAATCTAGAAACCAATTCATTAGTGCGAGCGCTTCTTCAAGGAAGCTTCCCCGCCGGCGGGGCGAGCTTCCTTGCAGGAGCGTGAGCTATCCTATATCTATATTCTGTATATACCCCAATGTCCGCAAGCTGCACTCCTGGATTGGTTCCATAGACTCATCTTTCAAGGCAATCCTGCCACTACGCCCGAGCTGAGAAGCAAACATATGCAAAATATAAAAGGAACGGTTCAAACACAATACAAAAACTGCTTGCTCGGGCTCTTTATCTATCTATCGATCGATCGATCGATCTATATATCTATCTATCTAAGTATCTATCCTTTAGGATGACTGTGCAAACTCACCGATTCTTCACAACAAATTGCACGAAGTCTGTCCAGAATTCGCGGCGACCACCAAGGGAGAGAGAGATTATGGAGCAGTCCTGGCTAACAAGAAAAGGAGCAAAATAAGCATACGCTAACTTGATCAAACCATGGTCCTGAGATTCTCCTCCAAACAAAGTCTCATCATCTGCGTGCCATCCTACTGATTGCGTACCATCAGCATAGTAGTTTAGATTGGCAGAGTTCGGCCAACATTCTGGTCCTTACATAACTGTGCCTTTGGCCACCAAATGCCGGACTTAAAAGGAGAAAGGTCATCGAGTCAAGGCACCGAGACTCGGGGTCAGCGTGGAGAACACCGTTGCCGTCAACTCTTCCATGATTCGCACAAATTGACTCCTTGACTTGGTCTGAGAGGAACTGACTCGCGCATCTCCATAGGTGTAGTCACACGTGCAACCATCGCGAACATACCAAGAAGTAGATCGCAAGATCTGACCCTTCCTTCCTGAGGGCAGAGTTCGACCAAGTCAGTGGATGCACACAAGGTGGAAGCGTGTGCTGGCGCTACCCAGGCTCCATAAATTTGTGTGCGGACACGAGCACGCCTCACAAAAGTGACGAGGAGCCCTTCAGCTGGTCCCATGGAGCAAGAGTTTGAAGTTTGTGAAAATACCTTGGCAAAAAAAAAAAAAAACATATATTGGTAAAATGTATCTTGTGTATATCGATCGATCGGTAGATAACAGATAGACAAATAGATACATACAAATATCGATCCATCATAGCTAGACCAATCGATAGACAAAAAAAAAAAAAGATAATATAGTTATATAAATACTATAGTGATCCTCTTTGTGATAGAGTGGTTGCAAAAATCAACTGGGACCCTGGGAAATTTGCGGCGAAGAGACGTCTCTGTACTTGCTTGATCAAGCAAGCTTCGCCAATGGAAAGCAAAGCAGCGTCGGCTTTCATCCCAAATGATGGTCTCCTGAGTGTTGGAGACTCAAGTTGAGCTTGTGTGATGTGTGCGTTTGTGGTCCACATCAGCTGACACTCTGAATATCTGGACTGCCAGGGGTCGGCCTGCCCCACCTCGACTTGGTGGCCAAAACCTAGGCCGGCAGTGCTTACCTGAAGGAAGCTGTTGTGTTCTTCTAAAGCTACATCCTGGCATATCAAGGATAGCCACACGTGTTGTCAAGTAGCTGGGTGGACCACCAAAACATCCCAACAGCGGAAGTGGGCAATCGTACAGCGATGCTTCAGGCAATTCGCATTCTTTCCAAACCATTGGGCCCCATCCCGTGCCATACAATCGCAGTCTGTTCGCATGATGCTGCACCATGTCAATGGGGAAATGTCCTACTACAAATTGCGGTGCCGACCTGGATGGAAGTTTTGATGAGGGCACATTAGCTTGCGCATAGTGACCAATTGTCAAAGCCAACCCTGTGTCCTGTCACATACATAGAAATCCCCCACTTACGGATACTTGTGAGTGGCACAGCTGCCTGAGCCACTCGGACTCCCCGGATTGTGAATCAAAACATGGCCATGTGATGCTGTGCATACAAGATTTCGGCATTGGTGAAGCGCAAATCAACGGGGACAGCAGACCTGGCCGCAAGCCTGCAACATTACTGTTTGCCAGGTCATTGCCATTGCCAACTGGGTCTGTGGTGAGACTAGCTCGTGGAGCTGGATTACCACAAGAAAGCCTTGCTGCTAAGAACACTAGCCAGGCACAGTTCATCAAGAATCAAGAATGCAGTAATCCGATTAGAGTTTAGCCAAGTGTTGCATGAATGTTTTGTCCTGACAAGTTTTGGTGACTCGCAAACTACTGTAGTTGAATTTCGGCGGCCTTCGGCCTGAAGATGCTATGGCCGAGTGCACTTGCACATCATGATACAGTTGAACAAGTTGTAATGAAGGTCGTTCCACATGTGCACACGACAAGGGGGCACTGATTTGTCAACCCCAATGTGGCTGCAGGACCAATTACTAACCTGGCCGACTCATGGCTCAGTTTTGTCGCTTTCTTGCCTGAAGCATGTGGTGACGAGCTTCCGCATGTTCGACACAATCTGCATTCAATTCTAGGTGCAGTGGATCATCGACACATCTTTCCTAAGGAGCGGACTCACATAAGCACGCAACACTTTCTTCCTTCGCCCTCTGGTGGTGGATCCTTTACAAAGCCGGTAGCTTTCCTTTTGATTTTCGACTCCCTGTTGGGATTGGGCTTGATCTCGACCTTGGGAATCTCAGGCGTTTCCTCTGGTACCTCTTCCGGAGGTGAAGCCTCTACATTCTCGGTCTTCTCAATCTTCGGCTCGGATTTCTCGGTTATAATCAGTTCGATCGGTGGTTCATCCACCGCATTGAGACCATCATCCGGCCTGCGTCGCATAACCCTCTGAACACACCTCTCTCACTCTCTCACTCTCTCTGCGCTTTGGGATCAAGAACTGCCCAGGCGCACCGAGAGGCTAATGGAACTACTAAATTTGGACCATTGGGTGGTGCCATCCTCAGCTTGGGACACTGTGGCATTTTGTTTCACATCGATTTTCCAATCCACCTCTCCTATTAAAAATATAGACACAATCTGAGGCGGCTACCGTTTGCCAACAGTTTCTCCAGGCAATCCACAGGATGTCTCATGCAAATCACCACTCCTACTGCTACGATTCACATTTTGAATCGCTAGAGCCCAAAAAACACAAAACAAATGATAGACCACGGATCTGCATCTCCAACATTGCGAGCTTCATGTCTCTCTTGATGAATCCCCAACTGACTATGCCCATTCAGCTTCGTATCGCCAGAGGGGTGGAGCTCGACAGCTCTTCCTCGTGCTGCCACCCAGGAATCAACATAATCAAGCAACGTCAAACACTACTGAAACAAAGGTCTTGCTGGGGACCTTTTTTCGCTGCGCTGCCTCTGACAGTACATATGACTCAATATGACCCTTCAGATTTCAGGCTTCCAGTGTGTACATTGATCCTTCAGCGTGTGAGGTTGCAAACAGAAGGTTGGCTGAGGACTTTCATGCAGTTTGAAGAGGTTCGTTGCACAGCCACGGTGTTGCTTCATGCAAGACCTTGCTTCAGCATGGCTGGGGGCGTGTGGTGGGGTAGTGACGTCTCGGAGTTGCAAGAAAAAACCGTCGGCCTTTTCATCAGTGATGTGCTTTACATACCAAAAATGAAAGAAGTTGTTCTTTTTCTGCTGGTGGCAATGGTAGAGTTGACGCAGGCCAAAAAAAGAACATCCCCTGACTGGGGAGATCTGGGGAGCCCGTCAACAACGTCTGCAGGATGAAGGTGTGGAACAAACATTCACAAGCCCCTTTAGCATTCAGTGCCGATGTGCATTGGCCCTTCTGTCGTGGTTGTGATCTCTCTCTCTGTCTCTCTTTCTGCCAGTCTTTCTGTCCGTCTATCTTGATGTCTGTCATGTTGCATGCCTATGTGTACTCACTTGCTTCCAACGGCCATCATTTTACTGCCGAGTCTGGCGCAAGTCCCACATCTCAATGCCCCTGCTAGCAGGCACACCCCGCCGCTGCAACTCTGCATTTGCTTGTCGCAAAGTCGCTCTCCCTCGCTCCAGTGCAGCTTCCAGCTCACCTCAGCTGAGGCCGTCCTTGACCGGTCAAAAGCGTATGTGGGGGTATGTGTTACGTGTGTATACATATATATATATATATACACGTGTATATATATATATATGTCACTGCGCTGTCGCACACACAGCAGCCTTTCCTCAAGGGGTTGCGCGAGTCTGCCATGTATTACCACCTGCTGCTTATTCAGCAGATGGACAGAGGGGTATCACACATGACTCAAGCCTCCCTATTCAAGTTAGAGAGGTTTCATGTGCGACCTATCGTTCCTATTCCCCCTTCTTTAGCTGGAAGATGGGTCTGCACAACCTTGCTCCCAGCTTAACCTTACTACCACAAAGGACCTACGGTGGAGGTTTCAAACTCTTAAACAATTCAATTTCAAACTACCGTCCGTCCTCACCAAGGATCTTTCCACCGTAGTTCGCCCTTCTTCTTCTTGCCTCCAGCCGCCATCGAAGCTTCTTTCAACTGCGCCAGCTTGGCCTCCTTCGAGGTTTTGAAAAGCCTGAGCTCTGCATCCAGCTGACCTGCCTTGTCAAGAAGCCTGTCCATGACCTTGAAAGGCAGCTTCTCGAAATCTACCTCAATCCTGTTCTGATCTCGGAAATCATCAAACCTGTCATTGGTGAGGTCGTCAGCTGGTTGGTTTTGCGCCCGAGGCACCCATTGCAGTTGCAAGTCGATGCCGACAATGTCCAGTTGAACCGCCAGCTCCATAGCCACGATCGACAACGGGTACCGGCTGGAGCCGTATCTCCTTAGCACGTGGGTGTTGGCCAAGTTGTCAGTCAAAGCCGTCAACGTCACGGCTGCACTTCCGCTTGCCCAAGTGGAACTCGGAGCCAGCACCATGACTGCCACCAGCACCCCGATCAGTTCAAGGGTGGCTATGTTCCGAAAGGGGTCACCTTTCAGATAGGCCCAGGGCGCCACCCTTCGGTTCAGCCTGAAGGAGAACTCCGTGTCTGGAGCTGCGCCGGTCTCCCAGCCGCCGATCACAATGTCCTCCCCTGCAGCCTTGGCATCCACACAAAAGATGTCCACTGGATCCTTCTCCAGCGGCTCAGCCGGCCGCATGGGCCTCCTTTGCACCTCCTCCTTCACGAACTCCAAGAGGATGATCACGGCATCTGGCAGCTTGGAGAACGTCCCCGGCGAGAGAGCTGATGCCCAAGAGAACAATGGGGCAAGAAAAGGCCTCACATGTCGTAGCGCTCCAGCCACAAAGCTTAGTCGCCCCAACACCGACTTCAGCTCTCTTCCAACCACACCGCCCTGCTCCAGCTTGTTCTCTATCCAGCTGACTATCCACGTCCTCTTAGACAGGTTGATCCCCTTCTGGTAGGTGTGGATGTTCAAGCAGTAGCCAATCCAGTTTACCTCCGTGCCTCCTCTGACCTTCGCCCAAGTGACAGGTATCTCAAGGAGCTCGTACACGAAGAACCACATCATCATCCTCCGCCAGAAGTCCTTGCCGACTGCCGCCAGCCAACCATCATCCGCATAGATCAAATGCAACAGCCCGAAGCGCCGACCCAACAATCGGTGACTGCACCTCACGGCCACTGCAATGACCCTTCCAAACCAGTAGGCGGCGCTGGCCACACCGAAGGTGCCCCTCGTGTGCACGAAGATGTCCCCGGACTTGTCACCTGGCAACCTGAACGCTTGAAGGCCCCAGTCCTGCTCATCCACCGGTATCAACTTGTGAGCTCTTGCTATGTCGTACAGCAACGAGAAGCGAATGCCTCCCCGATCTCTGTCGACCTCCGCCTGCACTTGTCTCAACACGGCCGTGGCGTCGTCGATCAATGGAAACCTCATCTTGTCCCGCACCCTGATCCTGCGGTTGACGTCCACGCTGTACGTGCCGTCGTGGATGAGCCTCACCTTCTTGGTACCGAGCTCTTTGGGCACTGCACCTAGGGCTGCAACTGCCAGTCTGCCCCGGAACCTTCTCTTGGCTTCGTGCTCCATCATTCTGACTATCGTGCCGTTCTCAACCTCCTGAAGGACCTGTCTGGCGATGTCTTCCGCGTTCTCTTCCGCGGACTCATAGTTGTCTGCCAGAATGTCCCTCATCACTTCGTCGGTGGCATCAACCGTCCATTTGGTCTTCTCTTCGTAGACCAGAGGAGTTCGAGGCATCTCCAAATCCACCCCGAGCCTGACTCCCCTCTCGGCTACCTCGCCCAGGAACTCGAAATCCTCGTCCTCGAGGGCCTCAGCCAGTGCCCGCAATCTTCTGAAGTTGATCTCCGATTGCCGGTCTCCTTCTGCACGGCAGGGGTTCAAGCCCCATCGACCCAGATGCTCATCTAAGGCCCTTCTTGCCTCCGCCATCTCTTCTCCAAACGGAGACTCCTTGACCTTCCCTGCCGCCATAGACCAGAAGATCTCCTTCGCCTTGTCCGCTCCAATCGTCGACAACCAGGACTCGAATGATTCTTCAAACAACGAAATCGTGGCCCTCTCTCTCTCCGTGACAGGCAACCTCCTCTTCCCCACCGGCCATCGACCAGGAGAGCAAAGACCTGCTCCATCATGGAGGGCCCTGGTTTCGCCCTTGTAGCTGACCTGAATGGGCGGTCCAGAAGCTGGGGCCACCCTCTTCGAGCTAGACTCCGCCTCCACCTTCTCCTTCTCTTGCTTGT